GGCCTCGATCTGCCCCAGGCAGTTGAGTAAGAGCACAGCTGCCTACGTGTTCTGAGAAAGAGTTAGTTGACCAAACAAACTGTTTGTTTGTTTTTTTCTGAGTCGCTCATCCCCATCTACTCATAACTGCTCTCAGAATCTGTGGAATTCATTGTGTGGTTTGCATCTTCAAAACAAATGAAACAACAGTATGCCTAAACCAAACAAACCCCAACCCAAAATACAGCCAGCAGGCCATGTCGCATGAGCAACCTTCGAGGCTGAAGTGTGTGTATACTCTAGAGGGCCAGAAAAATGTGGACGGGAGAACACAGTTAAATTTCAGGGAATAATAGAATTCCCAGGGAGAATTCTTAAAAAGGAGGGAGAAATGAGCAGAAGTATTTAAGCAATGATGATGCTGCAACTTTGCTTCCAGACGTGCTGCACCATGGGGTGCTGTGCCAGCTAACAGCACTTTCTGATGCAGCATTGTGCTGCTCCAGCCACAGCACTGCTGGATGCTCGGCCATGGCAGCCCAGAGGAGCTCGGCTCTTCAGCAGCCCACTCACAAGGGCTTTGCTGGTATATTCAGGGAAAGAGGAGATGCATAAAGTTTCATTCTCTCTCTTTTTTTTTTTTTTTTTTTTTTGCCTTAGAGGTTGTTAATAAGCTGCATTTAGACATTTTTAGAGCAGAAAAATCATTGCCTTACAGCCCAGACCATCCTCTGTGTAGCCAACACAGAAAACTGCTGACTTATCCCAAAAACGGGTCAAACAAAAACATAGCACTTCAAACACACCTCCTGACAGAGGGGCTGTGAGCCTGAGTGTTTCATTATCCGCTCCGGCCTCACATTTCTCTTGGCTCTGAGTCAGAGCCACCGACTCAGCTTGTAGCCCCTGGCATTTAAATAGCCACGGATTGACCTTTCCACTCCACACTAGGGCTCCAAAATCCTGCTTGGGTGCTGCGATGCTGCTCAGCCCACACTGCCCAGGATCACTCTCCATCCCTACCATCCACACCCGCCAGACCTGGTCATGCCCTTTCCAATGTTTCCTCCCTGTGCCGGGCCAGGCAGGGGTCAGGACGTGGGAAATCCTGCCGCCTCCTGCCAGCTGGCCTTGCCGGCACTGGGTGACACATCCTGGGTGGGAGCCAAGGCCCCGCCTCAGCCCTGCAACACTTCTTGCTGACCTCCTCCTGGGGCAAGCAGGATGCTTGGACCAAGTGTGCACGCTATGCATTACACAGCCCAGGCCACTTCTGGGGCCACCACTGCACCTCTGCTCTCACCAGCCACCTTACAAGGTAAACGTAGTAGCAACATTCTGAGTTGCAGTGGCTACTACTAGTAATATTGAATGGCCAAACAGAACTGACAAGAACAGCCAAGAGGTTGGGGCAGGCAATGGGGTACACAGGTGAGGTTCTATGCAAGCTGCACCGGGGCTGATTGACCTCCTGCTGACCACCCAGCTCATTCCCAGGAGCTGAAGGGCAAGAGCTACCATCTTCCCAAGCCCACCTCCCTCCTGGGCCCTGGGGGGGATGGAAATCATCCCTCCAAGCTGTTTCCCTGCCTGTGCAGCTGACTGCCTCCAGCACTGCAGACTCCCAACCTGCCTAAGGAGAAACCGGACCAAAACAAGCAGTGCGGAGGCAGAGGGAAAGGAGCCAGCCCTTTATTTTTTTAAGGGATATTGAAGACTGGAGTAGTGAGCCAGCAAAGTGAAAAACAGTCGTGTGGGGACTGTGAAAATAGGAGCTGAAGAGAGAGAGATGGGAAAGGTCTAATAAAAAAGAGTTACAGTATATAAAATACACAGGCGCCCACCTCCACCAGGAAGGCTGTGGGAGGGGGTCTTGGTGGTAATCTTTGGCTGTTTGAGATTGTCCAGGCAGACAATGTCTTTACTGCAACTGGGTCTGGATCAGACCAGTAAGGATCAGTGTTTCACTCTGTCAAACTCAAACACAATGCTTTTCCCTTACAGCATTTCATTACTGTGTTATTCTGCGGCAGAAAAAGTCACAAGAGGCTCCTCTAAAACTCAGGTAGCTGTCCTGAGCTCTCAGCTATGCCCAGACCTCGTGTGGAAAAGAAACACTTCCCTCATGTAAACAAAAGCTACAAGGGAAGGCTCTATCCAAGAAATCAGACCCAGGTCCCACCAAAATCCCACAAGTATTGCCCTGTGCTGAAATCCCCACCTACATGTTGCCTTGCTGCCAGGCAAAGTGTGGAGCTAATGAGCAATTCAGTACAGTTACTGCTGCCAGTGAGGCTTCAGAGCCTTATCCTAACTCGCATGAAGCTTACCAGAGTGGTGGAGAATCCCACTGTGACCTCTGAACTTGAAAAAAACAACGCCACAGAGCAACATCTCACTCACAGGTAGTAACGCCCAGTCCCAGCCCAAGTGATCTGAAGTACCAGCTTCCCAGCTGAAGGAAACATATAATTCCTTATCGTTTGCTATAAATACAGCTGTGCTGTTTTCCTGACCGTGTTATTCTTACAGTCCTTATCGTGTGCACTCAGATAGCCACGGCACAGTCACACACTTCACAGCCTTCTTGCTCCCCTGTTCCCAGTTTTCCCAAACCACTTACATTCTCAGACTCTCATGTCCTGAAGCCCTTCTATGGCAACGGGTGACCCTGCCCAGGACCTCCACATCCGTACCGAACAGCTCAGCAGATGAACTTATCTTCCTTTTCCCCTTCTTTGCCACACAGAGACCTTACTCAGAATTAGGGATGTACTGAAATGTCACTTCTGATAAACATTTATTTCTGGTGAGGAACATGATGTGTGCTTGTTTATAGGTGGTGGAGTAGGCCGATGAGAAGGAATACGCATGTGCTAAGTCTTGCAACATCTTAAATGCTTCTGAGTGTCTCAGAAGGATCACACGGTCCGGTCCTCAGGGCATTTGGACACACAAAAAAAAATGCACTGGGGAAGAAAATTCCCAAGGTCTTGGCCCAGAGACTGAAGGGAAACATGCCAAAGTAAAATATCTGAGATGAGACAATGGCTGGCCAAAGGTACCTTCATTTCTGCACTGCTCACAGCCAACCAAGACTTCACCTGCCACAACTTCACATTTGGACCAAGGGAAAATTTGGTGTAGGATATGGATTCTTAGAAATAGATTATGTGGCCACAGAGTATTTGATGAAGACATGAAATTTTCACAGGTAGCCAGGAAGCCTGACCCTTTAAGACATTCGCCGTCCTTCCAAATCATAGCTGTCTTTCAGAAATACAGTGAGCTCCACGAAATGAGCAGGTACCTTGAGTTTGCTACAAGAAATTCAGCATCAACTGCTTCCAGGGTTTCACAAAAGGAATGTGAGTATCTGTAACCAGGTATTATGACCTCGATGCTCAAATGCCCAGGTTGTAAATCTTATCACACACACTTATTGCAGGAGAGTCACACTCAGATGGCCTCAAAGATCAGGGAATCTCTGTTTCGTCCTGTTTTGCATTTAAGTCCTACAACTCCTTCTCCAAGCTGGCTCAGAAACACCAGGAGAATATTCATTCCTGTGGTTTTATGGCATTTCTAAGTCAAGTCTAGGCAGGAACTTGAAAATGGAGTAGAGATACAGTTTGTGTTTCCATTGAAGTAAAAAGGTGAAACTTAAAAACAGTTGAACACAGTTTTGATCTAATTTTGCAGAAGTTGAGAAGGCATTTCATTTGTATGGTCTTTTAAATCTGAGCCGAAACGGTTCCTGTTGTTTAATGGACATTTTCCACTGTTACGCAGATCTGACCCCTACATTTTAGTTCTCTTACATCACAAACCTGTAGAGCTTTACATCTTGCTTTTGCAAGCTACCTTGCAAATCCATTTTAATTTGAAAAGAGAATATACTTCCTACGCTTGTACAAAGACCTAAATGTGCTGAGTATGAGCAAATACTGGTTATAGTAAAGACGGACTCTTTCATCACTTCTTTGACTGAAGACAGGCTCCTTTATCAATTCTTCTACAAGTGCCCCATTGCTGATCATACTAAAATACACTTTGACATTTACATTACCAAACACTGTAAAATACCAAGGCAGCCAAGAAAGAAACCACAGAATATGCAAATGCAAGTCTTAGATACTTATTCAAGCACAACTTTCCTTGCCCTTCTTTTTGAGATGAAGTTCAGCTACTCAGTTTGGTTATACACATTCAAGCTCTTCCAAAACTTCAACAAGTTTAGAAGAATGCTGGCTACCCTTCACATCCATTTCTTCTACACAGTGAAATGTACCGAAAGACAATGAGGAAGGCTGTATGATTCATATTAATGGAATGAAATGCCATTCACAAATGTTTTTTCCATAGCAATTTGTCACTTATTGTATTGAAACCACTTCAGAAGAAGAGTCTCAAAGAGCCTTTTGATATTAGCATGATTAAAAACATAATGTAATTAAGCAATCCCATAAGATTTCTGTATGTTATGAGTAGGACCTTCAGTGACCACTTCATTCAACCACCCTAATATATGGGTGCTTGTAAGAGAAGGCTATTATTCTGCAAGATGCCTCAGATAGTTGTATAACACCAAGGAATTCAAATCTCCTTGCTCAGAGCAATTTTGTCTCACCAAAATTTAGTTATTCAGCTTTGGCACTGGATCTAGCTTCTGTGCCTCAAACTCTTCTCAAATTACCCAAAAAGACAACTCCTAAGAGTCATTCTGCCCTCCTCAACGTTGATATCTAAAGCTAATGGGATCATTTGCCCCCTGGATGCATCTTTCTCTTTTCATTGACTAGCCAGATGACTTTCTGGATATCTGTAGGTTTTCCTGCTGTTTCTGTCATATGCATAATTAGCATTTACGTATGTACTCATTACGTGCTTGTCCACGTTCATTTCCTATAGCCCAAGCATGCATAACTTCACATTCATATACAATGCAGCACCATACAAGCCTTCAATGAGAAGCAAACAAAAAACACCCTTCCAAGGTGCACACAGTCGCAGACCCCTACCTGCTGGGCAGTTGCATCGCTGGTGAGTCTCTCGAACTTCTCGATGTCTCGGCAAGTGAAACTTCAGTTTCTGTTAAGGAAGGGAAAAGAGTAAAAGGAGTCACTAGCACAGCTGAAACCCAAAGCCTCAAATTCTTGGAAAAGTGGGACTGGGAGACAATATCCAAGCAGAGATGGGAGAGAGAGAGCAGACCAGCTTGGGAATGAAAAGAGGCATTAGAGTTCACAGTCTTTAACTAGGGTTTGATTAGAAGCAGACTGATGGAGTTTCATAATGGCCTCCAAATGTGGTCCTTCTGACAGGCGTTACAAAGTCAACAGCCATTAGTGGGGATCACATCCTCATGAGAAAGCTGCATTTCTCAGAAGACCCACTTGGAAGACAGAAAAATAGAGATGTGAAGAATGTACTCTTCCCTCCATGGTAGACTTCATATACCCACAGATATACCTGGACAGGCAGAAAGGTTGCATCAAAAATTACAGCTGAAAGTGGCCTGAAAACAGCAATGGCATTTCATTAAACCATCAAGGCTTTGAAGTTTAATGTTACCACAGCGCAGAACAAAACAAAACCTACTGAGAGCCTTCACAAGGTGGAATCATGTCAAAATGCTCGTTTCCAATGAGTTAGTATTTCTTAATAGAACTGATGTGTAGGTCCACTCAAGGCCATGGCCTCCTCACTCAATGGAAATGTCAATAAAACTGTTCCATATCCAGGGCAAAATGCACTTTGGGGTCAACATCCCCACTACCTCTTGTAGACATAATTAAAATAACTGCAATTTAGTGAGGAAAATGCAAATCAATCTGAATAAGTTATTTATTAATGCCTGTGAATCACACTTGGTTAATGATTTCAGCTGCTTTGAGAATACTGAGCTGCAAGGGTGTTGTGCTAAAGAGATCTTCCCTCTTACCACGTAACCCTCAAGCCCAACTGTGCAACCTGCATCTTATAGTCCAATCTAGTAGCTTCATAGCCAGGGCTGATATTGAGAAAGAAACAGTCCTATGCCAGGCTAAAAGAAGACCATGCCCAGGATCATGTACAATTGATCTGATTATCACAAGTTAATGAGAAGTGTCCTGCAAGTAAGCATCAGTTTGGAGTTTTATCAGTTTTATTTTAGGAAGGAAAAAAAGGCACATTTCTTGCTAGGTCAGAGAGCAGTAGAACTGGCTGGAATGCTTCTATTTTTCACTTTGAAAAGACTGGCTTCCTTATTGCAAATCTAAATCAAAATGAGCTGTTAGAACTGACCAGAGACTGAATATTTCCAGAGCATCTTTGTTCACTGTATGCTGAAATGTTTTGATAGTGACTTGATTTGATATCAGGGAGGGGAGAGGGTTTCACATGAGAAGAGCTGCCAGTTCCCACATAGCATTTAATCTGTGTCTGCTGTCTCAGTCTAAAAGCAGAGATACTTGAATCTTTGCATTTGGGCACCTTCCCATCTAGCTGCCACCCCAAACGGCACAACTCTGTTCCACAGCACTGTCTGCTTTGAACACATTTTGCTAATGGTCAAGCATGAGCACAAATAGGACAGCAGAGCCTTTATTTGGATAGTCAATGGTATGCAGACTCAAGCATTCTCATTTCCATCTACACACATGCCAACTAAAATGTCTCAACATGAGACTGCCACATCTGGGTGAGGTTCATGTATTTGGGAATCAGGCTTCACACAGCTTTCATGATTATACAGGAAGAGTTGGTGGTTCACATGGATGGGGCAGGAAGTCAGTTCCTAATCAGCAAGGGTCTGACACTCTGCCTACAGCAGGACCCTGCAAGGAAACACACAACACAGAGGTCCCTAAGGACCAGGGAGGAATAGTCCACGGTTGGGCAGAGTTAGGATTTGCTACAAGAAGCCTTGGCTGCATCTCTGCTCACACACAAGGAGAAGAACAGCATGACCAGACTTTCAGGGGAAGTGACGATCCAGCAGGATGCAAGCATGACCAGGAGAGGAACAAGAGTGACAGCATTTCCCCACAACTTTATCTGTAGGGTTGGGGGACTGGAAGCAGCCAGGTCTGCTGAAGTAGCCTTCCCATGGAAAACAGGCCCTGCAGGTGGGAAGACAGGAGTGCTACTCTGCAGGGCAAGCACTGGTACAAAGCGTCCACTAGGCAATCATCAGCGCTGGGCATTTTCCCCATCCCTGGCCACCTAGGTGCCTCCCCAGAGTCCAAGAGCTCCACAGGCCCTGTGCAAAGGGCAGTGCTGCTGTGGGATTGCTCCTCTTTAGCAGGAGTCAAACCTAGCAGGAATTTTGGAACGCCTGGATTTCCTGCAGAGTCTACTGAACAAACACTGACAGCAATAGAAAAAGACCTCAGGTCAAATTTGGACTGAGATGGCAAAGCAAAACAAATTCCCAACGTTTTCTGCTTCCCTCATTACCACTGTGCAAAATCCTGCCTGGTCCAGCATGAGAAGCTAGATTTGCTCAAGACAGCAACAAAAAAAAAAAGAAAAGGCTTTCCTCTAAAAGTGGCTTTTCCAGCACAACAGAAAGCAGTCATTTTAGGGCAAAGGCTGACTTCTGTAAGCAAAAATGAAATGATTCGGTCTCTGGAAATCTTAAGTTTTTGTGATCTCCTGAGACCTGTGGTTGGCTTTTCACCTGGGTGATATCTAGAGCACTAGGCATCAGAACAGACAGTGGCAACCTCTTGCTTAGACAGAAATGCTAAAAACACTTCTTAGAACATCAGCCTGCCCATATGACATGCTTGCTCTCGCCTGTCATACTTTCCAGTGACTTATCTTCCCCCTACGCATACGAAAGTGGCTGAAGAAGCCCATGCCAGCGGCAGGGCTGACCAGCTCCTACAAGGGGCCTCCTAAGGCTTGCAACTGTCTATTTTGGATGGGCACTTGAGATTAGGTGAAAGAGAGGGCACTTCTTCAAAGGGGGCAGATTAATAGCTCATTAGCAGATGCAGTTGTTTGCAGTCACCCGGGGAGGTGAAATCATTTCCCACCACTATCTCCAGCAGCTAAAAGAAACATGTCTTAAATAGATAATCTATTACAACCATCAGGAGGATTTCAAGGGCTGGTGGTTCTGTTAACTCTCATTGTTTTATTTCCAATTTTGCTGTTTTTTCTTAAAGGTCCAGTCCCTAGAAACTCAGGACTATGCGTCAGAAGCAAAAGCAAGCAGCGAGATGAAAGAAAGGGGGATTTAGGTAGCAGAAGAATCAGAAGGAAAAACAGAAGAACTCTCATGATTTTATCTTAATGTTTTCCACTCCTAGAAGTAAGGCTTAGAGGAAAACCTTCTGACACTTGGGAATACATTTTTCACTGTAGTTCTGAAGATATTTACGCAAATGATTAAAAAAAAAAAAAAGGAAAGAAAAGAAAAAAAAGAAAGAAAGCTTCAAGTGAGGTGGGAAATTGAGTTTTCAGGTGCTCCTCCTTTGCTTGCTTAAGTAAGGAGAGTGTCCCAGGGAAATCAGACTACTGGGACAGTAGCGATGACCAAAGCCCCCTTCCCATTCATGGCACAGCCCCTCAGCATCACTAGACAGGTGACAAATACCTTTGATCCAAACCGGAGAAGCCAAGGGCACCCATCAGGGAACAGAAGGGCATCTGATCTTCCCCCAGGCATTAGAGGATACCTGCTTTTGTTTTACTCACACACAACTCCTGCTCTTTTTCCCCCGCCAGCAGCATTAAACCCATCCTGCTCTCCACCCTGCCAAGCTTTTGGCAAGCAAAACAGTACCAAATGTTACCCAGCATGGGAAAGGACCTTGTTTTCTTCTTTGGAAAGTTTTCTTTCTACTACTAATGCCAATAATGAGTTTATTTGTGATCTTTATATGATTTTCTGTTGCCTTATAAATGCAGAGGAATTCCTACACAGAGCCAAAGTTCTCTCTGAACTACCCATTCTGGCCCACTCCATGCAGACATTTTCGGGGGAAAACAGTCAATTTGTGCCTTGCAGAAAACTCCCCTCTGGTGTTTGCTGAAACCAGGAAGAGCTTTTTACTGTAGCAAGCAAAGCAGTGCTGGTCAGGCTGCCTCACAGAAAGATTCTCTCTCTGCTTGTCTTGCTGATCTGAGATGGAACATTCCCACCAGTTGGCTTAAACTTAATGCTTTATACAAACCAACCCATCTCCTCTCCCTGTCAGTTCTGCTTTATTTCTGTTTGTCCAGCAGGCACCTGCCACATCTCTGGCATTTTGCACTTCTTGGTGCAATCCTTATGGTGTCCCCAAGGCTGCCTGCACACCCTGGGGACACCCAGATGTGAACACGCCACACTCTGGAGGGCACCATGTGCTCTAGCTCACAGCAATATGAGTTTAAGCACAAACTTAGAGTTCCTCTACCAGGCTTCAGAAGCTTTGCTTCTTACATTCTGTCAGCTCATGGGCAGACAAGATAGGGAATGGATAGCAATGAAGAGGAGCAACAGAGATTTAACTCACCCATAGCAAAAAATGGAGCATGCCCAGGGCAAGAGCCACTGGCTCTCAGCACCTTGTCCTTTCCTGCTGTGCTCACCAGCAGCACTCCCCTAAACCCACAAAATTTCAAGGGCTGACCTCAGCCTTGCTTCAGTGCCCTCCTATGTCCATCACCTCCCACTTCCCCACCCATCATGGTGAGCACATTGCAAAGCTGAGGCTTCTTTAAAGCCTTCCTACCTTTTTTTTTTTTTTTCTTTTTGTGTGTGTGATGGATAATGCGGAGTTGGAAGCTGTGAAACCCATTAAGGTCAAAACAGGAGGAAACTGTGGCAGTGAAGCAGCAAGGCAGGAGGAGGAATGAATATCTCATATTCACACCCACCACAGCCATTCTGGCCACAGCCACTATTTCCCCAGCCCAACTCACCACTGTCTCTTATTTTCCCAGTCTTTCTTCTCTCATCCTTTCCCTATTCCCTTCCTCCTTTTCTGTTTTTCTTTCTTCTTCTTGTCCCTCACCATCCATTCTGGGAGACCATAAAACTTAACCTCACTTCAGACATAACAAAAAGAATGGCGGGGTTGTGTGTGCCAGCCCACCATCATAGCAGATCTCCACCCTGCACCTTGAGCTGCTTGTTCCATGCCACCACCTCCAAAACGCCTGCTTCAGGAGCTGAGCCAAAGCAGGCAGAGAGGGCAAGGAAAGTCCTGCAGTAGGGTGCACAGCCCTCCTGCTACTCCTGCAGGCAGCAGCTCTCCCTGAATGTTAAAAACTCAAGACCCGAGCCAGGCATCTCCTGCTTGGGCTCTGGTGCCTTTCTCCAAGCTGTTTTTGATGCTTTGGCCAAGCAGACAGCCGGCAGTCTCAGCAATATCAGTCATGGAAGCAGGAGCCCCTGTCCTGTAGCTGCTCCGTGCACTGGCTGTGGGACTGGGACCACCACAGGGCTGCTCAGAAAGCAGTGGTGCTGCTGGGCATGTGGGCAGTGCGATAGCCCCATTTCCTTGCTAAGCTGTGCTATAAAAAGGCAGAAAGGTGCCACAGGCATGAGGACGCTCTGTCCATCCAGCCCCCCGGCACTGCTCCCAGCAGGGGTCCTGCAGCACGTCTCAAATCACCCAGGATAAACCCTGGCTTCCCCTGAGACTCACGCAATCAGTGATGAGGAGGACGCTACACATCATCCTCTGCCCGCTGGTGGGAATGCAATCCCTGCACAAGGGTGCAGCCGTGCAGTGCAAGTCTGACCAGTGGCACTTGTGCTTACTCTCCTCACAGTTCTCCACTCTGGGATGTTGCTTGTGTAGCCTCTGATGTATCAAAATGACTTCAACATCCTGATGAAGCAAGGGCTCCTGCAGGGAGCTCCCTCCAGGGGCAAAGACCCCCATACAAACCCCACTAGCATCAGCTCAGTGAAAGGAAAGGCTTTACCAGATCAATGGTGGAAGTCCGTGCTTTTCCACCCTCTTTACTGGCTCAAGCTCAGGCTTCTTCAGCAGCAGCTCTCCTGTCCTCATCCTTAGAGGAATAGCCTGTTGGCTCTAGTGGGGTTTGGATGGGACCCAAACGGGTGTAGCATGGCCATATGCTTTGCAGTGATGCCCCAGCAGTACTAGAAATTATCTTGGCAGCACCAGCACATCCCATTTCCCAAGCCAAACACAGCGGAAAGGGTCAGGGCTAGCACAACAGAGAAGCCAGCCTGTCACGACTTTGGCCTTTTAGCAGCTACCTGCTGCTGCAGCACAGCTTGGTCTTTCCCTCCTCCCATGGTCACACCAGCTATAGTGTACCTTGCCTGTCCCTCTCCCAGGTCTCAAACCTACACTGAATTCACAAATTTAATCTCCAGCCTCAGCTGTTTAAGCAGGCAATGCCACCAGTCACCAAACAGAGAGTGCTGGAAGCTCTTCTCCCCTGCAGGGAATGGGAATGAGGTTTCCCCTTTTGCAAAGAGCTAGGGCTCAGACACAGCATGGGCTAGGGCTGAGGGAAGCAAACAGCAGGCAGGTTTGAGAGGTGGGAGGGACCTGAAAGCACGGGAAATTCAGCCTAGCAGCATCACTCCCACAGAAATACGTTTCTAAAGTGGGGAGAAACACGCAGTGCAAATATATGTGTGCACACACATTAAAACGTATAGTAAGGCATACCATCCACACAAAACGAAAGGACACCAACCTCATCAAGCAGTTGGTCAACTCTTCCCAAAATAGCCGTCTCCATTTGGTCTGCTGAGAGCCAGGCAGGGAGCTGCGTGGATCTGTCCGCTTCCAAGTGGGACACCCGGGATTGCAGATCAGAGGTCCGAAAGTACAGCAGGAGGCTGAGCACCAGAGAGAGCAGGGAGATGCCGGGCAGCCCCGAGCCCAGCAGCAGCGGGAGGCGGCAGCATCTCTCCCCGTCGCCGGCCCTGGGGGTAGCCACGCACCCCCTTTCAAAAGCTGCTTCGCCAACACCTTTCCAGCTCTTCTCCTCCAACATTCCCTCCCTGTCCTGAGAAACAATAAATAAATAAATAGAATAAATAAAGCCTCCCTCCTATTTCAAGAAGCACAATCCAGAAGGCATAGAAAACAAATGTCCAAGGAGATCCCGGTGCCAGCAAATGACAGTTAACAGCAAGAATGACAAAAGTGGACGGGGGTGTCCAAAAAATGCAAAATAAAAACACACATACAAAAAGGGGCGCAGAAAAAAAAAAAAAAAAAAAAAAAAAAAAAGAAAAAAAAAAGAAAAGAAAAAGAAAAAGAAAAAGAAAAAGAAAAAAATGGATCCAACTGCAGCAAAGATTCAGAGAGAAAAAAATCTTATGAGAATATTTTTTTTTTCTGTCTTTCAGTCTTTTGAGTCGCTGGTAGGTTTTGATTTCCTTTTAAGCTGCCAGTTTCAGTTCCTTCGCAGACCGGCCAGGAGCTCACACATGAAAGTCCCCATTAGAGAGAGGTAATTCTCAGCTGTTCCGGCGACGCTGCGCTCTGGCTGATCGTGGCTCCTCTGTAACATGACACACTCCCTCCAAAAGACGGGGCTGGGATGAGCGAGCCGCGGCTTCCCAAAGTAACCTCCTCTGCTCGCCCGCTCTCTCCACCTCTCCTTCTCCGCATGATTTATTTATTTATGCAAAGCGCCGGGGTGGGATCGGGCTGTGAGACGCCCCGGTCCCGCTCGGTCTCCGAACCACCTCTCCGCCGCCAGCCCTTCCCTTTGAAGTGGCTCTCGCTGAGGTTATTTATAGCGGCAGGAAAGAGATTGTAAAGCAGAGGCTGGGCTCGCACCAGCCCGCGCCTTGCTTTCCTCCCGGCAGCCGGAGTGCGCAAATGGGACGGCACAAGTGGGCTGCCGAGCCCCCAGCCGGACCCCAAGGCGGCACCGAGGCAAGGGGCCGTGGGGTATTTCGACCCCAGGATTCGGGAGGAACAGCTGGGCAGGAGGAGAGTCAGTGAGAAACAGCTGGGGATCAAAGCCAAGGATGCTCACAAAAACTTAACCAAAGGCAGAGGAGAGTGATGCCCCAGGCAGGCAAACCACAGCAAGAGGTGGGAAACGCCTGGGGCTTGAGCTGGTCCTAAGACCCAACAAGCCCAGGAAACACAGACGTTCAGAGGAATTAATCTGCTGAGGCCCTCTAGTGAAGCAGAGCTTCCCATCATCTCCCCCACATCCCACTGGACATAGGGCAACAGGCAGAACCCCCCTCAGCAGAAGGCAGCCTCCCCAAAACGTGCTACAGGGGAGCCCCAAGCCACGCATCCAGGAAACAAAGCCCCTTTCTGTTCTTCAAGAGTAAGAGGCCCACCTCCCCCAGATTTTCCAAGCATGACATACAATATTTTACCCTCCAGAGTGACACACGGGCTCTGCTGAGCCCCTGCCTGTCCGTCCATCCTTTGATCTACATCTTGTGCACACACAGCAGCGAAGCAGCACAGGGCCCATTGCTGCACGCACTCGTTAAAAGCCGGGCAGCAAATTGGTCTCTTAAAATCTGGCTCCCTTGTGGCTCCTTCGCTGTCATTTACACATTTTAAATGAAGATTTTGCGTGCAGTCTATGCTGGAAATTATTGGCAGAGAAAACTCATATTCATCTCTCTCCCGCTCTCCATTTCAGAGGGCTGGAAGAAATAGACCTTTGGGGAGCAGGCTAAAGCAAGCAAGACTTGTTTCTTCTCCAGACAAACCCTTGGAGGGCCCAGTAGCACACAGCCCCAATTCTTTGAACCGCCTCATGCCTTTTGCAGCCACTCGCTTCCTAAAGTGGGGTTTTAGTGTCTGCAAGGCAGGAAATCCATTCTTTATTTCTTTTAGCAGGTTTGTTGTCATCTCACTGATCGAATTCTCCTCACCACTCTGGTGTGCATGGAGAACAGTCCTCTGATGGCTGCAGCTTTTCATCAGTTTCTCATATGAGCAAACAGGGCTGTGTAACACATAGACCAGATGCATGCAGGGTGTCTATTTGTTCAGGAGGTGCAGCTCCCCCATCTGACACCCCTTGCTCAGTCACTCACACACATTCACAGCCTATTTCCTGGCAGAGAGAAAGGACTCTTCAAGGCCATGGCTCTGCCTCTTGGTGCTGGACAGAAATCATTGGTCCACAGAGCCACCTAAAATGCCATCTGCCATCATAGCAATATTTTTTCTAAATACTGGGACAATGAGAAGTGAAGAAGAGATGCTGAGAAGCTGAGGATAAAAACATTTGGAAATTGTTGATGTAGATGGGGAAATAACTGGGATGCTAGGCATCCTAGAGGATACTGAAGTAACATGACTTAAAGGCCAGGGTTCAGCTGCTGAGGACAGCAACAACCTGCTTCTATCATACATAGCTTTAACTGAAGGCTGTCTCATTTATACCAGCCGAAGCATCAGAAATCAGGAAAATGCACCCACCAAGCTGAAAGTGGAAATCTGCTGGGTGTCTACATTTCATTTCCCTGCACCAGCTGGGGAGAGCTCTCTACTCTTTCCCTCTGATTTGCAGTAAAGATCCTGCTGTCCAGTCATGAGCATCGCCTGAATGACTCTGTAAGTGCCTTTTCCTGCCTCCCCGCCAGCTCCTCTCCAGCTGATCAGTTCACTTACAGGATATGTTATAGCTGCCACAGGCTGGGGAAGCTGCAGTCAGCTGGGTTTCACAGGGAAGCCTGGGTTGTAGAGGGGTAATTTTTCTATCTACAATGCATTTAGGAGGCCTGTCAACCCATGCCAGTACAAATGGACTAATTTAGCTACAAACCTTGAGCCAACTGTGCGTGTAGAGCATGCAGCACTGCCTGTTGAACAAGCTGCCTCCAGAGACCGCCCCAGCACACAGAGTCATCTCATAACTCCTGGAGTTAAGCTAAGCCCAACGTTCAGCTCCCTCTGCAGCTTAAGAGGTGGTCGGTGCCAGCCTGAAACCAGCCCTCGTGTAAGTTCATGACTCTTGAATTCGGTCAAGTAGAAGCAGATGCTCAGCAAATCAGTGATTTCACAGACCAGCAATTCTCAGAGCCTCTTCTCCAGGAGGCTGATCCAGTTCTTGACAAGGACAGTGACCATACATTTGCACCACTTATAACTGGTCCTCCAGGGGTGGTTACAGACCACAGCACATATATGCAACGAAATCTGGAGCAAATATAAGGTAATATGCATCTCCCAAGACAACCAAATATATCCATACAACAGAACACAGTGTTTCACATCTAGCACATGGCATTGGGTCAAACAGGGTACTGGACATGGTTACATACAGGTAAGAGAGCCACCAGGTTTGCCAGTCGGTAGCTGGCATCAGCACTTTATCCATCCTGGGACATTCACATGTGGGCATCAAAGTCCTCCACAGAGAGGTTCCTCAGTGTTTCTCTGCTACAGACACACAGTGCTCAAAGGGGAACGATGTGTGGGGGACTCCTTATAGGACATAGCAAGCAACCAAGAGGTCTCATTGCAGAAGACCACAATCCCTCTGACTCCAGAAGATACCGCCATACACAGACAGTCAGAAATGAGAGAGCTGGGCACGGATGAGATTTCAAGCTTCTGCACACATGGTTCAAGCCAACAAATTACCTAGAGAGTCTTCATTTGGCCTGGAAAAGGGTGGGCAACAGCAGCAGACCTTCCTTACTACACTTAAAGCGGAGTTTTTCCATTAAAAAAAAAAAAAAAAAAAGCAAACACGCTCTTCCTGTCACTAACTGGAAGCTGAGGCCAACTGCATGGAGATGGCTGTGCACTCAATCCCATCAGTAATCTCTAAAGCTGCCTTGTAGAGACATTCTCCTTTTCAATCCATTTAGTAAGGAGAAAATAAGCCCAACCCCACTTCTCTTTTTATCCTCCTCCCCCCCCCCCCAGGAAATGTGAGGGTCTTGATGTGCTCAAACGAGCCATTAACTAGCAGCTGACATCTCCAGCTATTGTAAATATATGAACTCAAGGCCTTTTGCTGCGTTTATTAGACTCAAGAACAACATCTGGAAACAGATGTTTTCTGAGAGCAAAGGAGGGGAGGGAGGAGGGAGGAAAAAACAAGAGGGAAGAAAAGGACTCTTCCAAGTGGAAGTGCACGGGTCTGCAGACCATCCCTTCACAAAACACTGTTCAGAAGAAGCATTGCGAGGGGCTGAGGACAGTGTAGCCACGTCACTCCTACATAAGGCAGGGAGAGCAGGTCATCCCAGGGGGGCTGTTGGAGAGAGGCAATGAATGGGGAGGGGGCCGAGGGGGGAAAATATAGAAAAGCTTGTCTACTGAGAACAGTCACAGAGCTCACAAAAATGAGCTCTCCTCATCATGAGCATCCCAGCCCTCAGCTATTCTGTGTCCCATAGAATACCAGGCTTGTGGCAGGGCACTGTTCCCCATCCTGCAGTCTGGCAGCATCTGCCACAGTGACCCACTTGCCTTTTGGTTGGGGCACAAAGCAGGCAAGGCCTGGGATTCCCAAGGAACACCACCAGAGTCCCATCAGCCACAGGGAGCCCTTTCCCAAATGGCAAGCAAGGTGGGATGCTCCCACCTGAAGGCTGTGAAGGACCAAGGGGCCCTACTCTGACTCAGTGATCTCTCAATGATTCCACACCTCATGTTTAGACAATGTTTAGAGAATTGTGTAGTGCTAAGAGGGGAAAAGGTTACATAGGCACATGTGTATTTAAAAATATAAGCCATGCATCATTAGTGAAACTCCACTCTCAACTAGACACATTTTCTCCTATGCATCAGAGGTGACAGAGGTACAACAGAGCTCTGATACCAAAACTTCCTTGAAAAGCTCCTGAGGGAAATGCGTCTGTCCCATATGCTTACAGTGCATAAACTCACGTTCTTTACAGCCATCATTTTCTCTTCTGTAACCCCAAGCTCACCTCTAGTATCTCCAGCCCTATCTCTCCTTTGATACACAGCCACAAATTGTTTGCTACTCAGGTCAGAAACATTGAGTATTACCTACCTAATTTGGCAGTAGTTTATAGGAAGCATTAAGTAGTCCACGGAGCAGAACAATTCCCGCCTGAGGAGCTGCTCCAACTCATTGTGGAGTTATAGAATAAAGATGCTTCTGATCCTTTGGGAAAAGGGTTATGAAAATGCATGGAAAAAATGTACTGTCCACACATAGTAATATCATGGCTGTTTTCAATCACTTGGTCCCTACAAAACAAATGGTCTCACTGAACAATATGAACTCCTAGCCCAGACAA